AGCTCTGGACTATAGGCAGCAGGCCCAGCAGATGGAGCTGAGGACAGGGGGCATGTCTGTTTCCACTCAGGTCATCACTGACTGCAACGAGCTGGATACATATGAGCAGGTCAGTGCCAGCTAAGTGTGTTTTAAGCCAATAACACCTTTCTATCTGTGATCATTGCTGTGTGCAAAATGCAAAACAGAAAGTAGCTTTCAGCTTGATTCCTTGTGTTTTTACACAGTGCACAGTGGCATGAACTGAATCTGTTGGCCTCTCTGAAAAGAAATAACAAATAAAAAATAATAATAAATAATCAAATAATTCAAATAAATAAATCAAATAAATAAGGATAGAATTAAACTTTAGACCAAGACTTTATCTCTAAAGACACTTCAGTGAGCTCTTAGCACTTCCTTGCTGTGGTTGAACATCTGGATCTCTACCTTTTGTTTCAGGGTATCCTCTTATCTTCTTCGTGCCTGGAGAGGAATCTTCCTCACATGTTTCAGTTGTGGAGCGACATATTCAACAGGTAACTCCTCCCAGCTTTTTACATTTTCCACTGCTAGCGACACCAACAGATGGAACTGTCAGTTAATGGGTCTTATTTTGTCGTTTAGTCCTCACTTTGATGACGAGGAGCGCCTGAGGGTGCTGGTGATGCAGTCAGCACAGGAGTTGGCCAATAGTATCGCATACTCAGGTCACCTGTATGCTATGACTCGGGCGGGTCGTCACCTCACTCCAGCTGGAGACCTCCAGGAGACTTTTGGTGGGATGGAACAGGTATCTTTGTACATTGTAATAAAGGCTTAACCTTTCAGAAAAACCCAGCTATCCACAAAGCTGCTTTGCTTGTTTATTTGTTTGTTTTATATTTTCTTCTAATTATCCGGGGCCGGGTTGTGGAGGTAGCAGCCTAGGCAGAGATCCTCAGACCTCCCTCTCCCTGGACACCTCTTCTAGCATGTGCGGGGGAACACCAAGGTGTCCCCAGGCCAGCTGAGAGATATAATTTCACCAGTGTGTCCCAGTGGGACATAGGTGGTTGAGGCATCTGACTCAGGGAACCACCTCAACTGGCTCCTTTCAATGTGGAAGTGTATTGGCTATAGTCTGAGTCACCCTTCGGAGAAAGTTCATGTCTGCCGCTTGTATTTGCAATCTTGTTCTTTCAGTTATTAGCCAAAGCTCGTGACCATAGGTGAGTGTAGGGATGTAGATCAACCAGTAAATTAAGAGCTTTGCTTTTATGTTCAGCTCTCTTCACCTCGACTGACCGGTACTGTGTCCACATCACTAAGTACTTACTAAGTACTGCCTCCAAAGTCCCACCGGCTAACAAAGCCGGATAGGATTCCTTCTTCAGCCTAATGGTTCCCTCCACCTCAGGTGTCCACCATCTGGTTCGGGGGTTACCACCACCACAGGCACCAACCACCTTGTAGCTGCAGCTCAGTGCAATGGACCATGTTCAGGCAATCATCAGCCTGCGGACTACAGATGACAGTCAGTACCTATTTCCTGTCTTGAAGGCGCCAGGAATAAATCCTCTCATCCACCAGAAAAACCCCAACATATTGGCAGCAAGCTGAGGGGATACTTAGATACCCACCCCAGCTTACCGCCTCTCACCAAGGGCAACTCCAGACTCAGACAGATTCAAGTCCCTCTCCAGGAGACTGGTTCAACACCAAGCCATGCATTTTCGGGGCCAGGCCCGCCCAGGCCTCATGAACTAAGTCCCAGCAACTAGGCGCTCGCCCTCAGGCACGCTCCCCGGGCCTGGTTCCAAACTCCATCCAACAGTGTCTTGTGTCAAAGAAAATGTACTGTAAAAAAAATCACTATCCATGTTATTTTAAATTTCTGCAACAAAGGGTAGAGATGTGATGGTGTCAATACTTTGGAACCAATACTTCATCTTCTAACAACAGGTTACATTTATGAAGAGAACAGCTGCGATGGCAGACCTCAGCCAAATCATCCGAACGTTACCCAGGCTCAAAATACACCTTTTCAACCCAAACAACATGAGGTGGGTCCATAATACACCTGCTATATGTAGACTTTATCTTTATTTCACTGTAAATAATGAACTATAAAATAGTGACATATCAGGTACTCAACGCTTCTTATTTTAAATGTGTCCATATAGATGTGCAATCAACTCAACTCCAGAGAAAGTATCTGATGCAGCGGCACACTTGGAGGGTTTTATAAAGGATGTGGCTAAGAACAGAAAGGAACGCAAACCTGTCAGACCAAATATTATTGAGGTGAAGTTGAACAGGGAAAACAAAATATGTGTAAATGAATTAATTCATTGTTATAATCAATCCAATTTAAAAAAATAATAATAATAATAATCTTTGTGTTTATTGCAGAAGCCGATAAACCCTCTGGATGACAATGGCCCACGAAGAAAACTAATATCAGTAGGTTCAATAGTTACATTTTTCTTTATTTCTTTCTTAATCCACTGATCAATTTTTGAAGAATTGTTTTGTTACAATTAACATCTTCATAATTCAATAAGTAATCCATTTCTGATTTAGAATTAAATTAATTTGCGGTTTTACATTTTTCAGGAGCCAACTTTCCATCCATGTCCAATGAAGACTTTCTTTCAGATGCCTTTCCCTGTCAACTTTGTCAGTGAGAGTATTCGCGCAGTGCCCTTCTCCCACAAGGACTATGCCAGGTAACGATATCATTACATCCTGCTAACAGCAGGTAAATAACTGTAACACAGTTTATGGCGTCTTTAGTGTGTTCTTTAACTTAATTTTACTGAAAATGTGTTGCTTTTTTTTTCTCTGTTATGCATTTGTAATAACTGCATGCAGTAAACACTTTCTCTTTACTCCTTCATTAGTTTGTGCATCTTAGCCAGGATGATGACAGCAAAGTTTCTTCATGGAGAGATCCGTGAGAAAGGCGGAGCTTATGGAGGCGGGGCCAAGATAGGAGGAGGCCTGTTCACTTTTTACTCTTACAGGTGGGTAGAAGTTCAATACAAAGGTTTACTGTGTATCAATAGGGAAGGAAAGCAGGAAACATTGAAAGTTCAAATTATGAGAAGAATTTCGGAGAGTTTTGACCTCATGTGTTGTCTCTTCTGTGTCCAAGGGATCCAAACACAGTGCAGACATTATCTGCTTTTGGTAACGGTATCGAGTGGGCAAAGTCAGGAAAGTTCACCCAGCAAGACATCGACGAAGCCAAACTGTCAGTCTTCTCAGCGGTGGACTCACCTGTGGCCCCCGCAGACAAAGGTGAGGTGCCATCTGAGTGATGAGAGGTTCCCTGAAAGCAGCTGCCTGGATCAGTTTACATCAAACCTTTAAAGGATTTTAACACATTCTGTCCTTGCATGAGAATGAATCTGTAAATATTCAAAAAAGGTTTCATAATAGAGTAAATTTTGTGTGTGTTTATGCATCTGTACAGAAATTTACATTCAGACTCTCACAGCCAGTGTGGTGCACATGCTACCTTCCCCCATCTTTAACTATTTTGCATCATTTTAGACTTGAAGTAATAATATACAGTTGAATTTATAGAGCGAATGGATCCCTTAGCTGAAGCTGTAATTTCAGCATTCTTTATGTTCTGATGTAAAGCTTGTGACTCTGTCTTTGGTGCAGGCATGGGTCAGTTCCTCAGTGGGGTCACGGACGAGATGAAGCAGAGTCACAGACAAAGACTCTTTGCTGTTGACCATAAAAACCTAGTGGATGTGGCTGAAAGGTAAAACTGACCAATCCTGCAAAATGCAATTTGTCAAGATGCTGCTGTTTATTTACAACAAGTAGAGCTTTCTTATGCCCACAAAATAATCCCTCGTTTTTCTCTGCAGGTACCTCAGTGCTGGTCAGAAGACGTGTGGCGTTGCCATTCTGGGCCCAGAGAATGACGTTATTAAAAAAGATCCTTCATGGATTATAAAATAGGACTGTCAGTAGATATTTTCAAAGTGGTCATCCAAAGAACAAGTGTCATCTCAGAAATGTTTTAAATGGTGGCAAAAAGAAAGCTGAACCGCACAAAAGAAAGAGGAAGAAAGTTACCTAATCAGTGTCTGCCATTTGAAATACTTGTATGACTGCCTATTCATATTCTGTTATGTACATATTAGAATTAAATGCTGCATCATGACATTGGAATACAAAATCTGTCATTGGTGAGTCATTAAAACACTTTATTCCTGGGGGAAAGAAATTAGTTTCCCCAAATATTGACTTAATTGGTCCAGTATTTAAGATATTTGTGTAATATTTCTGCCTGGGCTCAAATAATTTAAAGGTAGTTTTAACAGTAGGCAGTGGGCAGCACAGTGGCTAGCACTGTTGCCGCACAGCAAGAAGGTCCTGCGTTCAATTCCACCATCAGGCCGGGGTCTTTCTGTGTGGAGTTTGCATGTTCTCCCTGTGTCTGCGTGGATTCCCTCCGGGTACTCTGGCTTCCTCCCACCATCCAAAGACATGCAGCTTGTGGGGATAGGTTAATTGGATAATCCAAATTGCCACTAGGTGTGAATGTGAGTGTGAATGGTTGTCTGTCGTTGTGCGTTAGCCCTGCGACAGACTGGCGACCTGTCCAGGGTGTACCCTGTCTCTCGCCCCATGACAGCTGGGATAGGCTCCAGCACCCCCGCGACCCTGAAAAGGATAAGCGGAAGCAAATGGATGGATGGATGGTCTCTTTCCACAATCAGTGTCCCCATTGTCCTGGTAATTTACTGTTTTTTACAGAATTACTTCCTGCCAGAGTACTTGAACCTAAGTAAATCTCATGGTTCTGCTAGTTACTGCTTTACCAAGATGGCTGCAGATATTTTGAAGCCCATGTCTAAATGAATGGATAGAAGTTATACTGGTGTCTGTGTGAAGTTGCACAACATTACGGTTTAATTTATGACTCAATCCAACAATCAACATCTCAGGCTCCTCCCATCAAACAAATACAAAGAGCCAACCACATAAAAGTGAGATACAATAACACAAAACAGTTACAGTTTCAACACAATAAATGCTTTATTACTCTGTGAAAGAACACGTCACACTGCCAGCACATAAATGTTGCGTAGTCTCAGACACTCTCCGTCTCACTGAGGAGCTACAGCAACAGCCAATTGGACCCTACTTACAGATAACCACTACAAGATGCCAGACACAACGCCCAGGGTGGATACAAAAAGCAAAGGCAACAACACAACAAACACACAATTAGCAGGTGACAGGACACACAACCAGTTCGTCCCAAAACCCCCAGAAGAAAAACATCCTTCAAGTTTCAACATTTTATAATCAACCTGGCCAACATGCTTGAAGTGCGGCACTGAAAGCATGTGATCCTCGTGAAATATATTCTCTCTGTATAAGCAGCTTTAGGGGGTCGTATTAAATATGGGGCTCAAAGTGCAGTACAAGGTAAAGGTGACAAAAGCCGGATTTCAGCCAAGCTGTGTTTACACAACATTTGCTCAGCTACATATCTTCAAGTAATAAAATTAGATATAGCTACTCTTTAGGAGATAAAATCTAAATACTTATACAGTACATAATGAACAGGGTCCATATATGTGTGTTTACTTATATAATACTTTTAGGGATCTATAAAATAAAATATTAGCGCTGCTAGGAAGTTCACACTACTTAATAAAATCTCAAATCCCATGACCCATAATATAGAATCCCCTCTGAAAAGTGCCGTGACTTTACCATTCAATAGAGCTTTTAAAATAACCTATCTTTTATAATCTACCTTAACATATTTGCAGTCAGTCAGCAGCTGATCAGTCAGTGAGTGAGTAGCCGTCACTGTTTTGTGAAGCTGTTGTCCTGTTGAAGTGAAGCTCTGCGTGTGGAAGTGAGGCGGTTCAGATGGCCGTTGAGGTGTTGCTGTCTTTGGGTCGGACCCGCGTCACGTGTTCCAGCTGCCCGGAGTCGGACACGTCATAGCTTGTCTTATACTTGGCCAGGATTTTCATTAGAGGACGGAGCTTCAGCCACCACTGCTCCTTAGGGATCCTGTGACTGAAAGTAGAGAATAGACGAATGTTCTCTACACTATTTCTTAACCACAGAGATCTTTAAAGCAAGATTAAAACAAAAGGCCTGGGACCGCTGCTTCAGAGAATTTTAGAGGAATTGGGTCAGAATATTTTTCAGGTTTGTTCTTAATAATCTGGTTCAGATGCATTAGCACTACCTTTTGTTTTTAACTATGTTAAAGATCTGCAAATGGTCCTCTAAAACATTTTTCCTCTCACACAGTAAGTAAGCTCAGCTTGTGAGCTTACTTACTCAGGGTTGTGAGCTGCACTGCTACAGATATTAAACAATCTTCTTACACAAAGTCCGTCTCGTCCCGGAGCTGCACCACAGGCTGAAAGACCAGAGTTCTGCGACGCATCCCCAGCAGGCATGCGGTGTCCTCCGAGTTTGCAAACACTCTCCCTGCAACGAAGAGAAGCATCAGCTTTTGTAACTGCGGCAAAGCAATTTCACACCTAAATGTTCTGCATCCTCGCTGGAATCAAGTGTCACATTTATGTGCTTGCCTCCTTTGTAGGACTCCTTGAGTGTCCGGGTGATCCACTGCATGGCTTTGGCTGCAATTTTAGTACCAAAGTTTCTGTCAAAGGGAGATGGAGCTCCTCCCTGACATGGAAAAAAAGTCATATTTATTCAAAATAAGGGCATTACATATAAAATATCACAAGTCTAGTATCTAAAATAATGTTAAGTGCACTTTTCTGTTACACTACAACTCTTAATTTTGATCACTTACAATCACTAGTTTAGCAACATAACTCTACACAGTAATGTCTGCAATATCTCCCAGATAGACAGGATGGATGGATAAAGGATAGCAGATATTTTGTGGATTTGGCTCCTTGCATCACAGATTGTCATCATTGCTGATAAACATATCAAGCACAGCATCGCGTTCATTCATTTGTGCACGTGGCCAACCTGCTGCATATGACCGAGGATGTTCTTCCTGCAGTCGAACACTCCTCGCCCTTCCTCAGAGTAAAGCTGGTAGATGAAATCTGTGGTGAAGTTCTCGTTGCAGTTCTCATTTCTAAAACACAGCACAAGGGCAACAGGCCGGTTAAGGGATGGCTTCACCAAATAACAAGTGCTCCCTTAAAAGAAGATGCTCTAAACAATGCCTGAACCCATTTATCAACTAACAGAGGACACAGAGTCACCAGGCTGCTAAGTCTCCACACACCAGCGTTCATATACCCTTCATCCAGGCTCTGCTTTTCACTGCATGCATGCATAGAGATGCTGTGATGCATCACTATGTTTGAGGGCATCTTAAAATAATGAAATTATGCAGGCACACAATGTCACCTGCACTCGGTTCAAAATACAACGTTTGTCCTATTTCCACAGACCTCGGTCCTGCTGGGAGTAATTTCCAACAGCATGGTGGTGCAGTGGACTAAAATAACCTCAATAGAGGACATGAAATAAAGTGTAAGGTTAATCAAAAATCTTTTATTTGCCAAAATGGTTTTATATACATAATTGAGAAACACTTATTTACAAATAACGCACTGCAGATGACATTTAAAAATAGAGCATTTTGCATTTTTTGTTCATCGCAGACGTACGCACAGGTCCGTACAATAAATCCCACAGGCTTGTGTAAGGTAATGCATCTAAATGTAACTTTAAAGAATGAAGGTGTTTAGCCTCACCTGAGCACCAGTCCCCTCTGGATGCTCGTCTTCATCTTCTCTGTCAGATGCTCCACGTTGGCCTGAAAACACAGAGTCTCTCACATTAAACCTGCAAGAGCAACTCTCACTCTTCAGTCTCTCATTGCAGAGTGAAGAGCTGCAGGTAACATTTACACCACCATGGGGCGCCATATCTTGTCTTTTACCCAGCTGGTGAGCCCAAGAGGGTTAATGCAACAGAAATGCAGGTTTACGACACCACACACATGCGCTTTTTGCTGCTTCTCATTGTGATCACTGAAAAAGTGTTTGTTTTTTTTACCTTTTCATGCATTTTTATGGTTGAAATTCTTTGTGACACGTACTAGTTATAGTTCATATGCAAAGGCAGACTTCTAAAAAACTAAATTGTGCACTGCGCCCAGACTTTTTAAAAAGAAAATTAGTTTGACAAAATTTACAGAGCATAAAGAACTCAACATTGTTAGATTAAAATTAAGTAAAACATACACAGACAAAATAAATAAAAAGACAATTAATATTAAAAGTGTATGTAACAGGAACATTGTAAACAATAATAGTCCTGACGTCTCTAATCTCCCTGACCTGATCTGTGTTGATGAGATCTGTCTGTCATTGAATGACTGATGCAGCTCAGAGGTTATTAATAAGTTGCTTCATGTGCACTGCTATAATCTGGGTCACCTGCACAGCCCTGAAACATCCAGGCAGAGGCACTGATTGACTAACGGAAGCTTCTGCACTGCACTGCGATCAGTCTGCTCCCACTACTGCTAAGGATGGAAATGTGCAATGTAGTGAAAGGTATTAGGCTCATTTCGAGCTCTATGTTGCTTATTCTGAACTCTTGATTCATAATCCAGTGCAGGGTTGGCTGGAAGTCTGTGTTAGCCCTGCAACAGAAGAAAGTGGACAGATGCCCTGACTTTTCAAAACAAGCCATTTTTAGCCAACTTTCTTCTAACTGGCTGCCTGTCGTAGACAGAAAGCTTGAACATTACGTGGGTGGGGCTCAGTTGTGTGGCTGAGATGACCATATTAGGAATTTCTGTTCTTATTGACATCATACAGAGCCCAAAAATAAAAAAGCCATGTTAAACGGAGGATTAGGAGCAGTTTGAATCCTGAATGTTTATGCTGTTGCCCTCATAAATGGTGTTACCAATAAAATCCAGTCATGAAACATACAAAAAATAAATTAAATGGAACTCAAAAAGGACTTGACAGGAATCATGGCTATAAGAGTCATCGAGAGAGTAAAAGGTCTTGGTATTTTCTGATGATGAGAGGAGACATGAAAATAAGGCATTTTCTGTTGGATACAGACTTTTTCTCTCTAACCTGAAGGTCACGGATGTCAAATGGCTCCTCGTAGATGTAGACAGTGTCGGCGCCTGCAGCCAGACCACCCACTGTGGCCAGGTAGCCACAGTAGCCCCCCATTGTCTCAATGATGAACACTCGCCGCTTGGTGCCACTAGCTGACTGTTTGATGCGATCACATGTCTGATTCACACACACATAAAACATTATACAATCATTAAACAAGAAAAATATGTTCACGCAGAGAGCATGCAAATGCAAAACACACTGTACACACAAGTAGAGCTGACAGGAATATTTTATTTATCCTGATAATATAAGAAGGATTTGTGAGAAAACATCTGAGCTTTTTGATTGTGGGTGAAAACTGGTAAATATGATTTGATTTGATATACCTTTATTAGTCCCAAAATATGTCATATATGTCATCACTTTGTAAAATAAAATTAAAAAGAAAAGAAAAGATATCTGCATCAGCTCTACTTTAAAGTACATAAAATAGCTGAGTGTCCTTAGAGATGCACAGATTGACTCAGTAACTCAGTCCAGTCATTTATTTTACAGCCTGTCATACCACACTGAAACTAATTTATCTGATTGTTTAAAGTGGCAGTCGACTGGCTGCATGTGGACAGACCAGGGCATGAGGCTAAAAACGTGCTTATTTCTTCAGACATCTTATCATCAGTTTTGTAAGTGGAGGATTTATTAAATGCAAATATTTTTAGGATGTACAGAACATTTGCAGCAAAAGAGTTACTCTGCTGTGATTTTATTTCAGGCCTCGCCCAGTTGAGGTGAAACTAGACGGTATGCAAATGATTATGACACCCCTGATGTAGACGGTCGCGGACTGAGGCTACATCTATACTAGCCCGGACAGATTTAAAAACGGTGTTTTCGTCTGACAACGCTCTGCGTCCACACTAGCGTTTTCAGTCGTTTTCACAGAGTTCTGCGTCCACATTGAAACGGCCGAAAACGCTTACGTTCCAGTACTGTGCATGCGTGAAACGCAAGAAGATTCGACCTGCCTCATTTCTGCCGCTTATGTACTTTCCGGCTCTTTGAAACATCGAGGAAAAGCACCGAGTTTTTTAAATGGACTAACAATGAGGTGGAGTTGTTGCTGCGAGTAACACAAAAGTACAAAGTTGAAAAAGCAAGTGAAAGTTAAAGAATTTGAAGAAAATCTATCTGGAGCAGGTACAAACTGATATTAATCTTTAAAAATTCAGAGCAAACAAAACAACTGCTGTATAATGCCCTCCGCTATCTTAGTTTAATTGGTCACATGACTGCATCATATGACTAACATGTGTTTTTGCTGTCCATACTGCAACGCCAAAGCACCGTTTCCAAATGTATGCATTTTCGAGAGTGTTTTCAAACCGCTGCGTTTTCCATCAGCGAAAACGCCTTCTCAGTGTGGACGGGAGGCCAAAACGGAGAAAAAACGATGCGCATTAGTGTGGACTTTTAGCCTGAGAGGGTTTTTTTCTTCCCAAGAATATATAAAGAACAAAGGAGACTGTAAAGAACTGGTAAATTGGCCATCAGAGCCACCAGAGTCAACCTGTGTGTCCCTTTAGTCTAATCAGATGATTTAAGGCTTCCAGATGAGGACGCTGCAGTGTCCTTTCCTATTTACCTTCTCAAAAACACTCTTATTTTAAAGTCTTGTTGGTTGGCTTCACACATCTGGTACCAAATGCACAAGAGGCCAGAAATAATCAACACAGTCAGTAAAACACAGGAACAGTCACTGACATGCATCGTGCCATCTTAGCTATTCACACAGAAAGAAAAACATGTACTCACTGACACTCTGGTTTTACTTCTGTTTGCTCATTCCTCTCTTAAAGTTTTAGTAGATGAATTGGAGTGCATAGTTCAAATGACTGCACCTTGCAGGACTGGATCCAGTTAACCAAGTCTTTGCTGTACTTTCTTTGCCCTCTTTGCCTTGTTTTTGTACATACTGAATAAATAATAAAGTACATTCTCTACATCCTCCTGGATGGTAACGGAAGATAATAAAATCGTCATATTTTAAATACAACAAACCAATATTAATGCACGAGGCACATAAGCAACATCTGCTGTGAGCTGATCGAGCTGTCTTTATTTTAGGATTTGTGTGAACAACAACAGTTTTGACACTTTTAAACCCAATTTTTATTAACGGTAACACTTCAGCATATCTGTAGCTCTTAATATCTCCCCTCATCTCGTTTGCTGGGCCCTTACCTCCACAATGGCGTTGAGGGATGTATCAGCTCCAAGACTGAGGTCAGTGCCAGGCACATTGTTACTAATGGTGGCAGGCAATATGCACATCGGGATGCAAAACTCCTCGTAGTCAGCCCGGGCCACAAACAGCTGCAGAATGGACTCAAAGGCCTGATGACGGTAGCCGTAATATGGAGTTAGACCACTAGGGGGAAGACTACACATCTAAAAATGCCAGTGTGCCCTTTAGAGGCTGCTTCATGGTGCCCAGTGACTCCCTTGTCTTGTATCCTTCATTATCATGATAGCTAAAGCTGTTTGTTAATCAAATGCCAAGTTGCAATATCCCCGTGGATGGATGGATACTTTATAAAACACCATTGAATGCACTTTTCTGTCTCATACTAGCAGCTTTTTAAAACATAAACAGCCCTGCCCATATTTGTCTGATCGGTCAGGTTTTTATGTTGGAAAGGAGTGTCTGTGATGTAGAGATAAACCCATTACTGCACAGACAATCATCAGCATGAAATCACTAAGGTGTTCCTTCTCATCCTGACAGGAAAAGCTTGTTACCATGAAATTCTGAATAGTTTTAATTTGACATGACATATAATTCTTTAAAGATGGTCTACTACACACTGTACAATATTTACAAACCCCAAATTTGTTTGAAATTATAACCTGCTGCAACCTTTAGGGTTAGCATTTTAAAAGGAAGGATACAAGACAAAGAAGTAACTTTAACTCCAATGAGACCATGAATATGCAGCTCTGCGTGTGTGTGCATGTGTGTTTGTGTGTGTGTCCTGTAGTGTGTGCAACTGGCTGGCTCTCTCCAGGAGTTGGGGGGACTTTGGCTTCTCATTGGCTGAGAGTAAATGGAATGAGGAAGAGGGGTTGCATCGTGGTTGACATGTAACGGTGTCGACGCGACGAGGTGAGACTCCAGAGGCAGTCGGGCAACGTTTCCTTTTATGTTCAAGAAGCAAAGAGGAAGTTTTTTTTATTTCTATTTGGTTTTTTTGTTTTGTCTGAAGACAAGAAAGGCTTTCTCAGATAAGAACAATAGGAACTACGATGTAGACCACAATCAGTTATGCAGCAAACAAACTTACTTCCCAAACGCAAACAGTGTTCCCGTTAGACTGAACCTTCCTGCTGTCTAGTTATCTGCCTTTTACAAAACACAAAGAAGACCGCATGAACACGCCAGGGTCACGCACCAAGAGCATGCCACAACACACCACTGCATGCCCTAACACTTACCTGGGACCTCTGCTGACCAGCCCGCATCCAGCAGCAAGTGTTTTCTACTGTACTTCATGCTGATTATTAACAGTCTAATGTCTGCATCAGCTAAACTGAGCTGAGTTATTTGGCATAGTATGCGTTGCCTGTCCTAACTGTAAGGTCTTGTTTCTATTATCTTACGGTTGTGTTTATGTGAAAGCAGTAAGCCTGTACTTTCCATTTAGTTCTGCAAAAACACAAGTTTGGTTGTTAAGCGGGAGGCCAGTGTTTACACAAAACATTACAGAGCACTAGCACTGAGTGCACTCTGTCATGTGACTTGAGTTTCAGTTAGTGAAACTACGGCACTTCAAAGTGAAAACTTGAAGTTAAAAATCTTACCCAGGCACAGCTGATTTCATTTCAGAGGGAACCAATGAGCAGGTCAGAATTTCAAATATTTGTTTTTTAATCTGGCTTTTTTGTCACTACTCCTAAACTGCCAAAGTTCAATTAATGGCAGCTCTAAGCCCATGCACAAGATTAAGAACCAATTTTTGACAATTTATACTAAATAAGAAACAATAACAATAATATGTTTTCAATTTCTGAATTTAAACTAGAAAACAAATGGATCCTGTAAAAAGATCTAAACTGTCTTGACGTGTGAACTAAATCTGACCTACTGCTTGTTAATGCAAGGATGCGAGCTGGCAATCAGCAAATCCCGAACTCTGAGATGTGTTAAGTCTGCATGTGTGTTAAGTCTAGAAACACACACACATACATTCTCTCTAGCCCAGCCACACTTACGTCAGTAATGGCATTCAGAGCAGTGTCTGAACCAATGCTGAGGTCTGAACCGGGTATATTATTGGAGACGGTGGCCGGGACCATAACCATGGGCACACAGAACTCCTCATATTTGTCCCGTGCAGCAGCGAGTTCCAGTAATCCCACGTAGGCCTGCAGTAGTGAGAGCCAGCGTCTTAGTGGTCTTAGAGTATGTACACACAAGTGGGGGAAAAGTGAAGAGCTCTAATCCCCAGGATTTTGAAGGTGCAGTGGACAAGAGGACACAGGTGAGTTTTGAGGGAAAAAACATGACAGGAAGAGCTGGGAACTTACTGGAGATAGCAAAGGTGTGTCCAAAATCCATACTACACTCGAGAAGAAGATATTATCTACTATAAAATGGAGTATAGTCCACTAATTGATTCATGGGCTAGCACCAAACGCTGAGCATTGCACAGCTTTGATTTTGTCGAATGGAAATCAAATGTTTCACTTTATTCACCAACTTCTGCAAGATGTTTCATTTCTTCATCAGCTACAGCAGGAGCTAGGTACTACTGTAAAAAAGAATCACTGCATTACTAAAAGTGGCTTAAGATAACGTTTACTTTTACTTCTATTGTTATATATTGATTAGAGCTAAAATTTTAGCCAATCATAACTATGATACATGCAAACTAATAATCTGAACATGTTTGCTTTAGGAATCATAAGTTAACTTGTGGTGGGCGTGAAGGAGGAGGCGGCTTTGAGGTGGGAGGGATCTGCTGATGAGAGATGGAGCTCAAGAAATGGAGTATGAAATGAAAATTCAGTGATGGGATGAAGAAACGTCTGTGAGGAATGTACTGTTGGGAGAAGCCAAGGGGAGAGAGCCAGGCCAATCATGACGGGCAGTGAGACACACACAGGAAGTCAATGTTGCAGCTCCTCACATAAAAGGACAAAGACAGAGACAACGTTCATTTTTGGCCAAGCTACCAAAGTCAAAAACCTTTTCTTTTAAATGACATGGTTGAATTGTTAAAGTTCTTTGTTAAAATAAAAGTTTTATGCTGGTTTCATTTAATCTCTCGATTGGACAAAGAGCTTGAAAAGCATCAAAATGCCATAAACATCCATTTCAATGTACTGAAAATCATTAAATCTATCTATATACATGCTGGCTTTGCAGCTTGGCCAACAGTTCATACTGACACATGGACAGACAGGGAGAGAGCCTTAAAAATTTAAATATGTCTTCATTATATTTTGAAAAAATATTAATATAGAAAATGTGTTTTGCAAATTTAAAATGTCAAATTGGGTAAATTGGTGAGAAACAAATGGACCAGAAAATGCTGAGCAATACAACACATGGCAATCGTAAAATGCTGGTGGGAGACGGTGCTTGATGATGCTGATACAATAAGGTTAGCCATTTTACATTACACAATAACTCTGCTTTTACAATATCAGTAGCTTTTTTTAATGAAACAATAGCTGAATTTAAGATTTTTTTCTCATTGTATTTTTCTAAATGATAAAAAATGGTCAGAGATACAATATTGATAAAATGTGATTACAAACAAAATGCTTTAATTTGCAATAACCAGGAAAGGTTGTACATACCTCAAACCCTCCGACCACAAGCAGAGCATTGATGTTATGAATCCTCATCTGCTCAGCGATCTTATCCAGATGTTTTCCTGGAAGAGTTCTGACACATAAAAAATGATTAGTCATTAAAAAGGCAAAGGGGATAACACTTTATCATGTACATTTAATGTTAAAGCATTTAACCTTCCTCTTGTGTTAGCTTTCTGTTATTATCTTTTATGTTAATGGATAGTTTTGTGTCTTAAATCAACCAAAAAGTTCCCTCAAAACAGTGGTTTATAATTCAAATTGTTTGTAATCTTGTTAGGCTTCCTTATCCATGAAAAGATGGGTTTTAATATTTTTCCTGTGGCCCTCAGGCTCTTTCTTTTTGCAGCACACCTCTCATTTTCATTCCAAAACTATAGCAAATTAAACTCAAGAGATTAAAAAAAACTTGTAGCAATGTAACGTAACATATCTCTGAAATAAATCAGTTTCATTTATTTTTTATGTCAATATGATTAACTATAATAACATTCCTGTGTAATTCTATCAATTCGATGCACAGAATTACACAGCCCGTGATGCTGCTTTTGGCATCCAAGGCTGCCCAGATGTTCATTTACTCTCACCTCTGCCTTTGTGTTGAACATTGATGGAAAGAGCTCCACCCATCTCTCCCAGACATCCCTAATGGGAGCATGCGTGTCAGGTTTGCTCTAGGATCTATCTATCTATCTGTTGTAAAATCTGAGGACTCTTGATATCATTCAAAAGGTCTGAGTGACATTTTTGCCTGGAAAATATGCCTGCCTGTCGATGCTTCCCACATACCATCAGTGGTCTCATTGCTGGATCTGTACACTCCAGCAAGTAGAACACCAGTATAGGCTTCCAGGTATTCCATGTAAATATCATCCTAAATGTAGCCATGGAGTTTTCTTGCTTCAAAGTTTGTCACAGCAATTATGTGTTTCTTTAGTGAAAATGGTAGAAACCCATCAAGTTGTCACTTATTCTTGTCACGCAAACCTGGAACTCACAGAGTCATTTTGATGACATTTGCAGCAGTTGGCCTGCCATGTAAGCCAGGAGGTACTCCAATCCAAGAGATGTTACCACTTTCTTTTTACTCCGGGAAGGAGGCAAAAAGGTGAAGAAGCCCCTAACTTCTCTCTGACAGTGTTAGTGAGCTCACAGTATGTTTACGATTTCAGTTTTGGCACTAATTATTGTTTTAAGATGTTATATTATAACAGAGTTGAAACCGACTGTAACAATACAATGGTCATAATTTCCACCAGAACATTTTTTAATTTTGTTTTCATGTTTGTTTAAATAGAGTTTCCTGACAAAGTCAGAAAGCCTTGATGCAATAAACAAGTTTAAATGGCACATTTATGCATAAAAACCTAAAAATGGGTCAGTGCCAACCTTAACCTCATTTTTAACCTTCCTCATCAAGAGGAAACTTAAAAATGATGTAGGCTTATAATAACAGGTATATAATAAAGCAGCAGATTACCTTTTTGTCCCTAGCAGTGACCCACCCTGGCCAGTCCAACCACCAACATCTCCCCATTTGATCTCTTTAATCTGATAAAAGAGAAAGGCAACTCGTTTGTATCGCAACAAAACAAATTAATGCATGGCAGAAAAGGTTCACAGATCTCACTGGGACTATTAAAAAAAGCCAACTAGCAGATAAACACCCCCTTGAAAATTATTGTGTCAGTGTCTGAATTATCAACCCGCACACAGCACTGCCACAGCATTGAGAGGAACTACAATGTCAAGTACAAGTCAAGAACATCATGAAACACCAGCCCCAGCCCACTTCCCATGGAAAGGAAATACGACTGCCCCGATGACAACATCAGAGGCAGCTTACCTAGGATGAGGAGAAAAAAAGGACCAGGCTGTTGCTCAGTGGTTCATATTACTCTCTGTAAGCACATTTTTCATTTCATTTGGAAATTAAGATCTTAAAATATTAAGGCTGAGTTGAAAGGCACTGAATCAAAGTTATTTGAAGTCCAGTGTGGAGTTTCTGTAGTCTGTGATGTGTCATGTTGTCAGCAAGTGTTGGTGATGATTGATCCACTGTTTTTACAAAGTACCTGCCCATTGTATCCAAACTATCAAATGATTTACTGACAATGTTATTACTCAGCTTGACTTTTCAGTGAACTCTTCTGGCTTGAACCCTACAGAGAATCTATCAAAGCAACCTGGGCTTCAAAAAACACCTCAGCGTTGCCACCCCCATGCCACACTGACGCAGCAGTTCACGATAAAAGAGCCCCAACCAACCACTGAGAGTACAACCATAGTTTTCAGAATTTAGACATTTCTGTATGTCAATTCTTGCCTTTGATTGAACTTAGGAAATGTTCTAATAATTTGAACTACTGGATTGAAGTCTTGAAATAATTAACATGAAATGAATATAGATGTTTACTTTTTTTTTTTTTTTTTTTTTAATACTTTCTCTTTATTGATTTTCATCTTATTTTACATACAGAACTAAAGAGGGCAAGGGAAACCAACACAGTCACATATGTTCGCATATTCCAAAATACACAACACCTTGTTTTACTTACACATACTACATATTACACAGGTGCATGTTCCATTCAAACAAATTCGCAGCTGTCCCTCTGCATCACAGAGGTATCAGTTTCTAGTCTTTTGATGTATAACAATCCCATCGTTCCCAAAGTCTCTCTCCTTTCTCCTTCTGTAGCCGCAGTGAGAGGGTAATCAGTTCCATATGATGAATTGTGTTAATAATGTCTATGACCAGCTTCCGTGTGGGGGGGCTTGTCTGTAACCAACACTTAGTAATTGCCTTTTTGCATGCAACCATAATTATTTTCAGTAAGTATGAGTCTCTGTTATTTATATCCTCAGGTATATTCCCAAGGTACATGGTACTAAAGGAGAAGTCCAGTGTTACTCCCAGCACATCCATCACCATTTGTTTAATCTCTTCCCAAAAGGCCTTCAGTTTAGGGCATGACCAGAAGACATGGAAGCAACCTGCAGCGACCTCCCCGCACTCCCTCCAGCATGAAGCGCCTGAACCACTTATTTTGGATTTCTGCTTTGGTGTGATGAAGAATCTAATTAAATTCTTCCATCCAAAATCTCGCCATGTTAAAGAATTGGTGGTAGATAACACATTCTTCCACATCCGCAACCAATCTTCCTCTGAGATAGTTATACCTGCTTCTTTTTCCCATCGATGACTGACATATCTTGTTGAGGTCTTTTTCATGGCTGTAAAACTTCTGTATATTTTGCCTATAGTACCTCTTATAATGTTCTCACCATAAGCATCCACAAATATTCGGATCACCCCACTAGCATCTGCGTCAAGCATTCTAATTTCCTTCCGGAAGAAGCTCCGAACCTGTAGGTAACGATAAAAATCTTCCCTGCCGATCTCGTAAATCTGACACATGTCCTCAAAATTGATCAGCTCCCCATGCTTAACTATCTTACAGATTGCAGTGATTCCATGCCTGGACCACTCCCTGAATTTATGGTCTAACAATGCTGGAAGGAAGCGTGGGAGATACGCTGGCCATCCCAGCAACCCTATTTCCCTATTAAGACCAAAAATTTTAATCACATCTGCCCATTTTTTCAGGGAAAAACTTACACATAAATTTTGCATCTGATATGCCTGTGGTAAACTCTCAAGGGACCCCAGAACAGACTGTATTGGGAAATCCATCAAGGAAAGCTCAATGTCCTTCCATTTTGCCTCAAACTTAGAGTTACACCAGCACACTAGAGGGTTTACTTTTTTTTTAAATTAAATTATAAACAATAAAGACTTTCATGACATTTGCAATTTTGTAAGATGCACTGTAAAAAAAATTGTAATATAAAACTATTTTACTGTGTATTTTACAGTTTTGTACTGTTCTTCTAGAATATTAAATTCACCTAAATTTAATATTACATTTGAAATACATTTCAAATGTAAATTAACGTAAAATCACTGTAAATGTAATAAAACATAACTTTCTTCCTTTTTAAATGTATTTGTCTGTACATGTGCATATTTAGATTGTTAAAATACATTCACTAATGCATCATATTTTCACAAATATTTGTTCATTATTTGAAAGATTGAAATGTTCAAATAAATAAAAATCAAATAATTATTATTATTGTTATTTAGGGCGATCGTGGCTCAAGAGTTGGCAGTTCGTCTTGTAATCAGGAGGTTGCTGATTTGAGCCCCGGCTTGGACATTCTCGGTCATTGTGTCCTTGGGCAAGACACTTCACCTACCACCTACTGGTGATGGCCAGAGAGGAATTGTAAAGTGCTTTGAGGGTCTCATAAAGCACTGCATGAATGCAGTCTGTTATTATTTAAATCAACAATAACTGTATATTTCTGTACATTTAAGTATTATGATTCATTTTGCCACATTCATTGACCTTGTTTATAGGTAATTTCATTGTTTAATCACATTAAATTGTTCCTAATTTAATGTTTAAAGGCACGTGAAAAAGGCAAAATCCCATGTGAAATTAGGGCAACAAACTGTATTGTCATTACTGAAAATAACCGTATTTTCATGGGAAAGTTATTTTCTGTTATTTTCTGGTATTATTTTGGCGCCCCAGCTGCCAGAATATTACTGTTTTTTTAGGATTTCTTTTTCAATCACTGTGATACTTAGTGGGGTTATTAGTCAGGGACCCCAGCTTCACTTTTCAACCAATCTAATCCTTCAAAATCAGGATTTTGTCTCATGTCTAATGAAAGGTACAATAGTGTGTCATCAGCATAGAAACTGTAACTTATATTCGGTTTTTCAATAACATACGATATGAAGAGAAAGCCCAATAACAGATATCCGTGGAACTCTATATTTGTACATAGTTGTCTGAATGACAATTATGTACATTGAATCTCACCTGTCCTTTGTAGAATCCCTCGAAGCCATCGTTTACAGCAAACATTTTGTGGCCTTCGGTGATTCCCACTCTGACAGCAGAACGAACAGCAGCATTCATACCTGCTGCTGGAGCACCGACGTTCATTACTGCCACATTAAAGGAGCTCTGTGGGTGATACACAGCACTAATCACACTCATGTAACACTCAGTACTAACCTTACAGTAGGGGAAGCAGAACCCCATGGTACTGTGATATGTGGTAGCACCCTTAAGCTTTTTCAAATTTTAAACCATATTCATACTTTAGGCCCAACTCCTATATTTAGTGTACGAACACAGAATATATCTATGAGCAGCTTTTACCGGCAATGCAGTCATGCCATTAATTCCATGGCATGAGGCAAACTGGACAAAAACTGGACTGAAATGGTTCAGTTTGGACGTCATGGAGCCATAATCACGGCTTCATCTGTCATCAGGAGAGACTCTGCCTCACACAGCAGCAGGCAGTGATAGCCTTTTCATGCATGAGCCACATGCTGCTAAAAGACGCAGTGAAGTAGTAGCTACTTTGTCATGACAGCCACTGAAAATATCAACAGTCAAATGAATATTTTCCCAAAATTTTTTAGCAGTTTTCTTGCCATTCAGTCTTGAATCATTTGGCAAAAACGCAAATGGTGCTCTTACCAAACAATTTTCAATCCAACTTTAGAGGGGATCTTATTTCAAAGTCAAACTCGGGTTCATGTGGTCCACATTGCAAAATGCAATATGGATACACCCAACAACACAGAATGCATTATGCTGTGCTCCAATAATAGACTGAGCCCGTAATGTTCTTGTTTTCAATTGGGTTAATGGCACATATAAATATGACGTGAAGTACCTCAAAACGGACAGGCTTCCAACTCTCTCTCAATAAATGCTTAATACCAAATCTCACACAGTTTGCTTTGTTTTTGAAGTCTAGCAAGCACAAGTGGAATAGAACTTCAACACCCGGTAAGGTCAGACAGAAATGTGTCTGCAGAAACTATACCAGCATCAAAAACTGCCAAGAATCAAACCTTGGTTTTTGAAGCCTTATCAGATTATGTTTACTTTCTGTTTGATCAAATACAATTTCTTCATCATTTTTCAAAGATTGAAAAATCTTTGGCTGCTGCATACAGACAGCACTAAACAGTTGGAGAACATAGGCATGCTGAGATAAAAAAGAAGATTATATAAAACAAATATTCAACAGATGAAAGCTTTACGTTTAACAACCACTAACCATCTTTGAATAAAACAAAGAGCTTGGAGCCTGTCCAGTTTGAGTTGAGAGTCAGCGAAAACACATCTATAAAGGAGACTACTTCAGAGCGATTTGAAGCAGATCACACCCTCATTGCCACTATCCCTGACAGCAGGGCTGGTCGGAGTCCTGCACTGCAGCACTAATGCACCTCTTTGCATGTCTACATTTCTAATTCCAAGCATCCAAGCAGAGCCATGAGGAAATAAGCAAAGGCAGACAGAACGACAGGTGAAGAGCACTGACGCTGTCCTTTTGTGGCACCATTTTACAACAACTAAAATAAAGTGGATATTAGTTCTAGACTTGGTAAGAAACTAAAATCCACACATATTTATCTCAGCATTGGGAAGATTATTAGAAGCCAAAGGGAATAAGATGGTCAAACTAACTGCAAAGCAGCTCCTCGTATGACCTACACCTGCAGAAGCTTCAGACGCTGATCAAAAGCCTGCTCAGCTGCCCCATTTTCACTCATCACATACATCAATCTGCTCTTCATCCCCCGCCTCCTCCTCTCCCTCAGGATGGACAGTTATAGAAAGACAGACTGTGTTAGTGTCACAAAAAGACTGCAGCACCCACAATACACCTGACCAGGAAATACCTTATGCTAATGTACAATTCTCAGAGCAGCTGGTGGAAAGACACATTTGGAGAATAAACATGGTAGTTATTATTTTACTGGTTTAATTAAATTATTTTAGCTGTTAATATTTGAGAGTGATAATACTTACATTTGGAAGTTCAGAATCTGCCTTCCGAAATGAGAGGAGTCGGTAAGTGCTCAGATTGTTTTCGAAGCTCCTGCAGATGGAAAAAAAGTTAAACAATGTGGAAAATCCAATATGAATTCTGGTCTGTAAATGCAGCAGGGCAAACATTTAGAGTAATTAAGAGATCAATGTTAACACAGATAAGCAGGAAGTGGGATGCTGTCAAACCGCAAAATGTACTATACACAACTTCTGTGCTGTGTGTCAGACATCATGTGCAACATTCGAACCAGTGCTCCTGGCATGAGCAACATTTAAGCACTTTATGTATTTTTTAATCTTCCAATATGTTGATTGGTTATATATAAACATAACAAATCCTACAGGTGTTTAATCATGTCAGCGTAGTGGAATTTTACAAATACCTGCCACGCAGTCTGACCGCCTCATCAAATTTCTTCTCATCCATGGCCTTCTGTACTTCTTGAGTCTGATGACAAAAAAAACAGGGCATTTTTTTCTGGTGAGGCAGTGCTGCCTGCTAACTGTATTGCATGTAAATAGTGTCTGGAGTTATGGGAAACTCAAAGCACCTGTGATCCAAGCACTATAGTTGCTCCAGTCTCACGGCATGAAAGCCAGTCCATATTTTATCTCTTCTTGAATACCAGCTACATCCCTTTAGTACGTTTATTTTAAGACCTCTTTCTTTGCAAGAATAAAAATGTAAAAAATCAATGAATAAACAATTTTGTCAACTATATAGTTTTTGAGGCAAACGTAATAGCAACCTTTGTTGCTTAAAGAGACTCTCAAGCTTTTGTAGTTATTTTAGGTCATTTTTAAAATTAATCTTCACATCTTTATTTTTTTTTCCAGGAATCAAGTTCATATTTTTCTTTTGAATAAAAATTAATCTTTCACTGTTTGATTTGTAAACTGCTTTGTTTCTTCTGTGGAGCTTCACAGTGTGCAACCCAGCAATTCACCCAGAAAATAAATGTTTCTCAAATTATTTTATATCTTCTTGCATTAAGCTGGTAAATGCTAAATGTCAAGGTTTGCTGAGGTTTGTGAAGACATTTCACCTTTCATCCAAGAGACTTAGGTAACTAACCCCTACTGGGGGCTGTCCCTTTTGAGGAGAACCTGACGGTTGTAGACCCATTATTGTTCATGTTGGTTGTTACATAATCTGCAGTATAGAATAATAGAGCCAAGGTGTGAAAAAGGTGAGGCCCAATTTCCTTAAATAGGTAAAACCTCTGTAAGACCCTGCCCCACCATCATGTGAACTATTGTGGTACCTTGAGGTGGGAGTGGGGGTTGAAATTACCTCTGTGCCAGGTGTTTTATAACTGAAGTAGAAAAATGTGTTTACATTTTCACAAACCTGAAGAGATCTTTTATCTTCTTATTCAAACTCTCCAGAATACCATTGACTGAGAACATACACAGGCCTGTTTAATCTCTTAATTTTATCTGCTTTGTTAATGTTGTAGGCTGACTGTGGATTTTATCAGATTAGTTGTCTTTATTTAAGTTTTTTGTTTTTTATGATGGACTGTCTAACTGAATAACATATTGTGAGATAAAGAAGAACTCACAAAAAAGTGACTAGCCAGAAATTTGAAACAGCTCTTTAATGTTTTACATTTCACAAAGCGGTAAAAAAAAAGTCTAATATATCATTGTTTCATGTTCCGTTTTAGAATTGGATTTTATTCCAATTTCTCTATTATAAAATTTAATGTTGTTTCAGATTTTCTCCCTGAAAAATCAGATACTGTTCTAGTGGTTCCCGTCAGATAAAATTAAAAGGTTGTGGGTTCAAGTCCCACCAGAGTCGCTAATTTAAAGGGAGAACTTTATTGAAGGTTCCTGCTACACAAAGTAGTATATGGCTGTCATTTAAATACAGTTGAGTTTGCTGTTGATGAAATTTTCTAGGTTTGCGTTCCACCAGAATCACTAACTCAAGAGGGTTTTTATTTCCTTTGAATTCTTTGCAAAGCAGAGAAGATTCAGGTTGCACACAAATGCGCATCTGTCAGATGCGCATTTGTGTGCAACCTGAATCTTCTCTGCTTTGCAAAGAATTCAAAGGAAATAAAAACCCTCTTGAGTTAGTGATTCTGGTGGAACGCAAACCTAGAAAATTTCATCAACAGCAAACTCAACTGTATTTAAATGACAGCCATATGCTACTACAAGTAGTGTGGATTCTGTGCTTAGTGATTATGGTGGAACGCAAACCTAGAAAATTTCATCAACAGCAAACTCAACTGTATTTAAATGACAGCCATATGCTACTACAAGTAGTGTGGATTCTGTGCTTTGTAAACTTGAGGCTTTCATTTCCTGGTGGTAGTAACAGATTTTCAGTTGACCAAAGCACTTTGTTTGGATGACTACAATAAAGCTGGTCAAAAACTAAGATTTTTGTGTAGCAGGAACCTTCAATAAAGTTCTCCCCTTTAAATTAGCGACTCTGGTGGGACTGAACCCACAACCTTTGAATTGCCTCTGAGGATCCACTAGAAGTCCAACGCGCTATCCATTGCGCCACAGAGCCTACAAAGCTCATTGATGACCCAGAATGTGGCGTAGAATTCACGTAGGTGATGTGAACGTCCCTAGAAACCCCATTCTGAGTACCTACTGTCAGATGCGCATTTGTGTGCAACCTGAATCTTCTCTGCTTTGCAAAGAATTCAAAGGAAATAAAAACCCTCTGAGTTAGTGATTCTGGTGGAACGCAAACCTAGAAAATTTCATCAACAGCAAACTCAACTGTATTTAAATGACAGCCATATGCTACTACAAGTAGTGTGGATTCTGTGCTTTGTAAACTTGAGGCTTTCATTTCCTGGTGGTAGTAACAGATTTTCAGTTGACCAAAGCACTTTGTTTAGATGACTACAATAGCTGGTCAAAAACTAAGATTTTTGTGTAGCAGGAACCTTCAATAAAGTTCTCCCCTTTAAATTACGACTCTGGTGGGACTGAACCCACAACCTTTAATTGCCTCTGAGTGATCCACTAGAAGTCCAACGCGCTATCCATTGCGCCACAGAGCCTACAAAGCCAAGTCTTGATGACCCAGAATGTGGCGTAGAACTCACGTAGGTGATGTGAACGTCCCTAGAAACCCCATTCTGAGTACCTACTGTTCAGATGCGCATTTGTGTGCAACCTGAATCTTCTCTGCTTTGCAAAGAATTCAAAGGAAATAAAAACCCTCTTGAGTTAGTGATTCTGGTGGAACGCAAACCTAGAAAATTTCATCAACAGCAAACTCAACTGTATTTAAATGACAGCCATATGCTACTACAAGTAGTGTGGATTCTGTGCTTTGTAAACTTGAGGCTTTCATTTCCTGGTGGTAGTAACAGATTTTCAGTTGACCAAAGCACTTTGTTTGGATGACTACAATAAAGCTGGTCAAAAACTAAGATTTTTGTGTAGCAGGAACCTTCAATAAAGTTCTCCCCTTTAAATTAGCGACTCTGGTGGGACTTGAACCCACAACCTTTGAATTGCCTCTGAAAGGATCCACTAGAAGTCCAACGCGCTATCCATTGCGCCACAGAGCCTACAAAGTCTGCCTTGATGACCCAGAATGTGGCGTAGAATTCACGTAGGTGATGTGAACGTCCCTAGAAACCCCATTCTGAGTACCTACTGTTCAGATGCGCATTTGTGTGCAACCTGAATCTTCTCTGCTTTGCAAAGAATTCAAAGGAAATAAAAACCCTCTTGAGTTAGTGATTCTGGTGGAACGCAAACCTAGAAAATTTCATCAACAGCAAACTCAACTGTATTTAAATGACAGCCATATGCTACTACAAGTAGTGTGGATTCTGTGCTTTGTAAACTTGAGGCTTTCATTTCCTGGTGGTAGTAACAGATTTTCAGTTGACCAAAGCACTTTGTTTAGATGACTACAATAAAGCTGGTCAAAAACTAAGATTTTTGTGTAGCAGGAACCTTCAATAAAGTTCTCCCCTTTAAATTAGCGACTCTGGTGGGACTTGAACCCACAACCTTTGAATTGCCCTGAAAGGATCCACTAGAAGTCCAACGCGCTATCCATTGCGCCACAGAGCCTACAAAGTCATGTCTTGATGACCCAGAATGTGGCGTAGAATTCACGTAGGTGATGTGAACGTCCCTAGAAACCCCATTCTGAGTACCTACTGTTCAGATGCGCATTTGTGTGCAACCTGAATCTTCTCTGCTTTGCAAAGAATTCAAGGGAAATAAAAACCCTCTGAGTTAGTGATTCTGGTGGAACGCAAACCTAGAAAATTTCATCAACAGCAAACTCAACTGTATTTAAATGACAGCCATATGCTACTACAAGTAGTGTGGATTCTGTGCTTTGTAAACTTGAGGCTTTCATTTCCTGGTGGTAGTAACAGATTTTCAGTTGACCAAAGCACTTTGTTTGGATGACTACAATAAAGCTGGTCAAAAACTAAGATTTTTGTGTAGCAGGAACCTTCAATAAAGTTCTCCCCTTTAAATTAACGACTCTGGTGGGACTCGAACCCACAACCTTTCAATTGCCTCTGATGTGATCCACTAGAAGTCCAAGCGCTATCCATTGGCCACAGGCCTACAAAGCCAAGTCTTGATGACCCAGAATGTGGCGTAGAACTCACGTAGGTGATGTGAACGTCCCTAGAACCCCATTCTGAGTACCTACTGTTCAGATGCGCATTTGTGTGCAACCTGAATCTTCTCTGCTTTGCAAAGAATTCAAAGGAAATAAAAACCCTCTTGAGTTAGTGATTCTGGTGGAACGCAAACCTAGAAAATTTCATCAACAGCAAACTCAACTGTATTTAAATGACAGCCATATGCTACTACAAGTAGTGTGGATTCTGTGCTTTGTAAACTTGAGGCTTTCATTTCCTGGTGGTAGTAACAGATTTTCAGTTGACCAAAGCACTTTGTTTGGATGACTACAATAAAGCTGGTCAAAAACTAAGATTTTTGTGTAGCAGGAACCTTCAATAAAGTTCTCCCCTTTAAATTAGCGACTCTGGTGGGACTTGAACCCACAACCTTTGAATTGCCTCTGAAAGGATCCACTAGAAGTCCAACGCGCTATCCATTGCGCCACAGAGCCTACAAAGTCAATCTTGATGACCCAGAATGTGGCGTAGAACTTCACGTAGGTGATGTGAACGTCCCTAGAAACCCCATTCTGAGTACCTACTGTTCAGATGCGCATTTGTGTGCAACCTGAATCTTCTCTGCTTTGCAAAGAATTCAAAGGAAATAAAAACCCTCTTGAGTTAGTGATTCTGGTGGAACGCAAACCTAGAAAATTTCATCAACAGCAAACTCAACTGTATTTAAATGACAGCCATATGCTACTACAAGTAGTGTGGATTCTGTGCTTTGTAAACTTGAGGCTTTCATTTCCTGGTGGTAGTAACAGATTTTCAGTTGACCAAAGCACTTTGTTTAGATGACTAC